TTTTATTTTCAGATGGTAAATAAAGGAGTGCTTTGCAAGCTGAGAAATGAAACTAAATAGTTTTTGAGTAAAAATGTAAATATTCAGATGTAGGAGTAGATATCAAAATGAAATAACATAACCCCATACCTGATAACTTTGAGCAAGAGGAAACAATCCATCTCACACAACTGATCATGTTTTGTTATGTTCTGAGACTGTCAGTGAAATTATCTCTGTATGTTTCTAATTGTGGCTTTTATATCAGTTAAGAAGTGTTGCACACTCTTATTTCAGGTCTATATTGAGGAGTGTTTTGTCACAGAGCTTAGTTTTCCCTCTTTTTTTCTGGCATTTACATTTTTTTTCTTCTATTGTACAAAAAAGGAACTCCCACAGAGGCTTGTTTAGCAATAGTCTTCTGTGATATCAACTCGCCGTCAACAATTAATCAAGAGTTTAGCTTGCATGCTCTGCAGGTTTTATCTTAAACAAACCTCATCAATCCTGTGCTTGACTACATTTTTTCTCTCTGTTAAACATAAACTGTTGATACTGGCATAGATGGCTGTCATGTCTTGCCTATTCAGTTCTTTTATCAGAGCTTGACTGTGTAACGTGACTCAGTTTTTCAGGACCATATTAGAGGAAGTGTGTTAGTACGGCTGTACAAGGTGTCAGAGTTTTATTTTGGAGCAACAGGCATGTTAACGTGTATTTCACATTGATGGATGTGAGATATCTACATGTAAAAAAAAAATAAAATATATATATATATGAATGTGCTATTTTCAACATTTCACGTAGCATCTTCTGTGTGTGCGTGTGCACTGCAGGGGGTCTAAGCTGGACACAGTGGAGGTGCTGTGTTTTAGGGACAGAACTCTGCAGGGAAGCCGCTCCATTCAACAGAGCGTCATCTTCCATGTCAAACTACCTGAGCTTCCCAACAACTCTGGTAATCTCTATTTCTTTCTGTGTTTCTCTTTTTATGTATGGGTGCATTTGTGCAGTTTGCATTGTGCTGCTGTGCATCTGTATATCGGTGCATTTGTATTTGTATTCACGTGAATGTGTGCATGCATTCAGATACATACACTTGTGGATATTAATACTAAATTGAACACGCATTCTTAGTTCACTTTCCACCGAGACTCACTGCTTCTTTTTCAGGACACACTAATCTCACAAAGCGTTTCCATTATTCCTTTATCTGCTGAATAAGGGAAGAAAGTAATTTAAATGGTAATAGCAGTGTGGGAAAGCGGGTAGCTCTTTGATCTGCAAAGGTTTTTGTTGAGTTCAGACAAGGAATCTTTGTTTTCCTCAGTCTACCTCTGTGGTTCATCATGTCTTTTAATTAATTTGCTGAGGATATATTTATGCAGCAAAAAATGATAAATCATCTGCTCTGATGATTTAACATTGTTTTGAAAAGGATTAACCAATCAACCTTGGCCCAACTTTACACCGGGTTCAGCTAATCCATCTTCTAAATTCTGAAAATAGAGAGGGAGTAGACTGTATGTTTGTGAATTAACATCCACACATCTCAATTAAATAAAGGTTTTGGTGTATTAGAAGTTTCATTAAAGTTGTTCTAGCCTGAAAGTGTTTCTGTATGTATGTATGTCTGTATGATTTTTGCTTATTTTACATTGCAAGCGTGTTTTTTGTTGTTGTTTGTCTGGGTTGTTTGTTTGTTTGTTTTTTTTGATAGCTTGTCCCAAGAGTGTCGGCTGGGAGAAAAATCCAAAAGGAGCCATGGGACCCAGGATGGTCAACCTCAGTGAATGCATGGACCCCAAACGGTGAAATAAATAATACAAGTATTTGAATTTCAGCAGGTTGTCTCGACCACATCTACATGCCTAAATGCATTGAGTTGATGTCCAGTGATTGCTGATTAGATATTTGCGATAACAAACAGTTGGTGAAGTGGCTAGTGAGTGTATGTCTTCACTTGTCTTACTTAATTTTTTATAGGCTTGCAGAGTCTTCAGTAGACCTGAACCTGAAACTCATGAGATGGAGGCTGGTTCCTTCCCTGGACTTGGACAAAGTGATCAACACAAAGTGTCTCCTTCTAGGTGCTGGGACACTTGGGTGCAATGTGGCCCGGACACTCATGGTAAGGATAGAAAATCAAATCAGTGGGTAGACAGGGTGATGAAGGTATGCTAGAATTTGGATAAGTGCTCCTTGGAAGGTGTTATGGCTCTTAATTCATTAGGGTCTATGACTTGCTTAACCAGAAACTGTTACAGAAGATTTTTTAAACACTGATGTTAGTAAAGATGAGAAATGTTATGTTTTGATGATGGGTAGTATTTTTTTTTTCATGCTATGTTAAGGTGTAGCTGCAAGTCAGGTTACGAAACCCGTATAAAGGTTACTGCAACTTACAGGACAGTCCATACAAATACTGCTAATACAACAATAATAAGCAGTAGCCCCGGTGCCATTATCAAGACAGTTATCCTAAAAAGTGTAGATTTAACATTATTATCATATTACTGTGTGTCTCAGATTACATTTATACAAAAGAGGAATGGTAAATGGCCTGCATTTGTATAGCGCTTTTCTAGTCCTTAAGGACCCCAGAGCGCTTTACACTACATTCAGTCATTCACCCATTCACACTCACATTCACACACTGGCGATGGCATGCTACATTGTAGCCACAGCTGCCCTGGGGCGCACTGACAGAGGGGAGGCTGCCGGACACAGGCGCCACCGGGCCCTCTGACCACCACCAGTAGGCAAACATGGGGTTAGTATCTTGCCCAAGGATATTTGGCATGCACCCAGGAGGCAGCCTGGGATCGAACCACCGACCTTCTGATTAGTGGCTGACCTGCTCTGCCACCTGAGCTACAGCCACGCAAAAGAGGAAAAAAGGACTATTATTCTTCTAACTAATGTGCTAGCATTACTGTTTCCACTGTTAACAGTATACACACACATACATGATGCTTGTTTGTTCAGAGTGTTTTTGGAACCACTGACTTTCACAGGAACATACTTAAAGTCAGGATTTCAACAAAGGTCCCTTTAACAGAAGCTCATAAGCTTTGCAACAATTGCCAGCTTCACTGTTTCACTGTTACACACCTCAATTTTTTACATTCTTTTTAAATGTCTTTATTTGATAGTTGAGCAGTTAAGATAGACAGGAAATTGGGGAGAGAGAGGAGGGGAAAGCAGGGGTTGTAGTTGAACCTCCGCCACTGCACTCCAACCATGTGGCATGTGTTCACCAGGCATATGGTTTTGCAAAGATTAGAAGATGTTCGATGTTAATTATTTTTCATTCTGGGGATGTAGGCAGCACCTCTCTATAAATAAACCTCCTCTTAAACTGATCAGCTGACACACTTTTGGTGTCTGAACATGATGTGTGCCATAAAGTTTACAGTATACTGTAAATGAGTTATCTTGAATTGCTTTTTCTAACCACTTGAAATTCTGAAACAACTTTAGTGTTTTAATTAATTTGCACTCACAGAACAGAAGCATAGACATGTCACATTATTTGTGATGATATAATCTTGTCCAATTATCAACTGGACAAAATAGATTTTCTTTCATTTTTAAAAATCCTTTCCATCCATATCAGTGACTTAAAAAACTTTTTTAAAAAAGGCTTACTCAGCTTTTAATATTTTTTTCAGTGTGAAAATCAACAGCTCTGATCTGTATTTTAGCCTGCAGGTACAATCATCATCCTTGGTGCTTCACCAGTTATTTGATTGTCTTTCAGACTGAGCCTGGTGTAATGTAGAATAGAACTAAAATTATACAGTTGTTTAACCTGCACACTAATGCACCCATTATTTCAGAGTTAGATTGTAATTGCACTAAGTATTCATTTTAAATGCACACAAGGCACACCATCTCCCACTCACTGTCACTGACACTGTTTACAAAGCGCCATTTAGGTCAGTGTTCATGTCAGTAAATGGTCGATTATGGTTTCTCCATTTTTCTCCAGGGATGGGGAGTGCGACACATTACATTTGTAGACAACGCAAAGATCTCATACTCCAATCCAGTGCGGCAGCCGCTTTATGAGTTTGAGGACTGTCTTGGAGGTGGAAAGTCCAAAGCCATGGCAGCTGTTGACCGACTTACCAAAATCTTTCCCGGTGTGGTACGTCGAATAACAATGCTTAACTGTGTAATATGACGTCTATATTTCTGCTCATATTTTAGAGTTAAAGCATGCCCTGCTTCTTGGAAGCCAATGATTACAGTCTGTCATAATCCCTGTTATTCATTCCTTCAGAAATCCTGTGATTCTGTTCTGCATATTTCAGCGTTATATTGGAATCGCACCAAGCACTCATTTGAAATGCACACAAGGCACAGTGCCTACTAGTTACTGTCACTAATGATGCTCACAAAGTGCTGCTGAGGCCAGTGTTCATGTGATAAATGGAGGTTTAATTATCTTAAAATAACATTGAAAAAGATGAATTTGTAATCACTGTGCAACTGCACTGAATGCAATTGCCATTTTACTATTTTTAGGTTTTTAATTGTATTCCTGTTTGAGTTCTTGTAACTTAGATGTGAAGTACACACCATGGAGAATAATAAGAGTTGGTTTTTATGCATATTAATGCTGGTGGTTTCAATGCTTTGCAAATTAATGAGTGGGTTCTCTGTGGGTGGGTTTTTGTTTCCTTTTTTTTTTCTTTATTTTCGGGGGGGCATCTATTTTAGCAAATGAAAAGAAAAAGCAGCCAAACAAACACTCACAGAAGGGCTGTGGATTGGTTTGAAAGGGGCAGCCTATTAAGCTACTAGAAAGTGCAAAGACTGGCTGCATATTTATAACGTGAGTCACATGTGCAGTATGCATTTCAAAATGAGGTGATTCACTTGTCTGTCCTGGAATATTATGCAATGTTGGGATCAGAAGATCATGAAGCTTAAAAAAATGATTGGGCAGTTTTCCCTTTTATATGTTGGTGGCAGATTTAATCATCTCGGTATCTGACAGCTTCATTGACTCAGAACCCATTTATAATGAATCTGTGTGTTTCTTTTGTGTGTGTGTGTGTGTGTGTGTGTGTGTGTGTTTGTTTCCATGACCAATCATACTGTTTTCACATTAGTTATAAACATTTAAGCCAAAAATGATTTCTCCTTCTGAAAACGTGACACTTCAAAGCTGGAGTGAATTGACTGAATCAATAGCAATCTAATGGACAGCAAATACAAAGCTACTGCCAGGAGATTTTGGCATAGCTTAGAAAAAGCATCCAGACAGGTTGCTTTGCACAGATAATAAAATTAGCCTCACAGCACATCTAATGCTCACAAACCAAACACGTTATCTTCACTTTTAAATCTGGAGCGAAATCCACTTCTGGAGCCTCTAAATCATTTTTAAAGCATTTTAAGAAGACTGACTAAGAAAAGCAGCGTGTAAAATGCTTTCACACCTTCTGCTTCTTGTCAGCTTGTAAGTTTTAACTAAACTGACCATGTGTAGGAGTGTCAAAACTTGTGTGTCCCTAGCGTGCCTGTGCCTTTATCAGTCACATCTCACACAGCGACTCCCTCAGTCTTTAAACGTCTGATGTAATTTGCTTTAAACTGTAAGATTTAAGCCTCATTGTAAAAGTATTGATTTTTCAGAGCTTGCAATCATCTCTGTAATAACGTGTCGGTGAAACGAGATACACTAGGATGGGAAAATGGTGTCACACACTAAAAGAAATGTGATGTCCTTTAAGTTGAACACACACACACACATCTGTCATGTCATCAACTTGACATCCAGGTCTCTCGCCACCCTGGCCCACCCTTATTTTCAGTTTCTCTCTGAATGTTCTGGGAATGAAATAGAAAGTGAAAAAACTGACACGTGTAGTCATGACCTGTCGTGACACTTTGTGTTTCTACCATCAAACTAGCTGCATCCACACCTGCTCCTATTTTTAACAGTGTGAGCGTGTGCCTGCTTGGCTTTCCTCCCTGCTTGTTTTTCTGCAAACTGATGGGTGTCAGGTGCAACTGTGAAAGATGGAAAGACAAATATGAAGAGGGTGAGCTGAAAGTGCAGAAGTACTTTAATTGAACTGGGGGGATATGGTTCAAACAAGGTCACAATGTTGAAAATGTCAGGCAGATTTCTTATTTTGTATGTGGGCGAACACCTGACACAAGTCACCTGACATTTCCAGGAGCTTCTTTTTCTCGCTTAAAATTTGTTCTCATCAAAACTGGATCATCAACAGCAGCTTTCTTGGATTGTTTTATTTTTCCAGAAAGTTTTTTTTTCTCACACTCAAAAAGATGTGTCTTTCTTGGCTGTAGGTTAACGATGTTTATAGAGGAAATTGGAATATGATTACCACCTCTGCAGCTTAGCAACACTTACGTCAGTGAAATATAAATTCAAGACTTGGTTGACAAGCTCCCACACTTACAATGTGAAGAGTGAAGGCAGAAGACCCACTGATTGAGTAAAAGTGGCATTTTTACTTTTTCTTGTTCAAATCTCGCACTTCTGCTTTGCCCTTTCTGTCCTTCTCTTAACTATGAAATGACTCTTGACATTTCCGTTTGCCTTGTTGTCGAGTATACACTCCCTGGAGATAAACATGGCACGAGAAGTTTGGCAGTGGACAACAAAAGACTGAACATTGCCTTTTTTTTAAGGATATTTTGTTGACTTTAAGATGATCTTTTATGTTTTATTTTCATACACTACTGCTGAGTTATACAGGACCATTTTTTTTCTGATCTCCCCGGTCTGTCAGTTACCAGACTGCAGAGAAATTTGCTTTTCACTCTGACTGAGGAAATCCATATTTTCATGTCTCAGAAGACTTCTGTAACCTGACTTCTTTTTATGTCCAAGGTGCTTTTGGAACGGCACTATTCTTTTATGTCCTTACATATTTTATACTATAGAGATTTGAGCCAGATGTACTGGAAAAACAATACCTCCTGAGAGTATTAAAAGTTGGTTGTCCCATAAATAATGTATACATATGAATCAAATACATTTTAATAATGTCAAAGAGAGCTGATTGTGCAAACAAAAGACTTGTACATATTGTACATATTGTGCTAGTTACCACACATGTCTGCTCAATTTGTAAGCAGTTCCTCTATTTCTTTCTATTGCAGAACGCAGAAGGTTACAATATGAGCATCCCCATGCCTGGCCACCCAGTGAATTTCTCTCAGGCCACTCTGTCCCAGGCCCAGAGAGATGTCGAGCAGCTGGAAAAGCTAATTGAAGAGCACGATGTGGTCTTTTTACTAATGGATACAAGAGAGAGCCGCTGGCTGCCTACGGTTATCGCTGCCAGCAAGAGGAAGGTAGGAAGGAACGGTACAATATGTAGAATGAACGGTCACAAAGCAGTGCGGTAGGGTGTGTGTGTGCGGGGGTGGGGTTCGATTATAGCTCCACTTATAGTATTTTACATAAAAACAATGAATGAAATGATGACATGCACTGTGAAAGTGGACACCTGCAACGAAGTGTGCACTCATGATTATTATTAAACTCTGCAGTTTAGTGGAGCTACTTTCAGATCATTATTTGGTTCTGCACATTCGCCCTGTCACCGCTCTCATGAACCCGCTTAGAGGAGACAGCTGTTTTCAGCAAAAAAACCTCTAAATCAATCCACTGAGCAGCATTGTGTAGCAACTAGACAAACTAGCCTGTGAATAAAAGTCAAACATAAAACACCAAAAAGACCAAAATAGATGTAAATATTCAACCTTTTTACCTAAATGACTAGAAAAGTAATTAGAAAGTTTTTAATAGTTCATTGTTTTATACTGCAGATTAAAAGTGCATGTTATGCTATACCTTTTTAATTATTTTATTCTTTGCTATTAGGGACTTTTTGTAATCTACACAATGAATTGTAACAGAATATTATTACTTTGTCTAGTCTGTACTGGTGCATTGTAGTCCAGTCTCAGATGTACATAAACAGAACAGGCTTTATGAGCTTTGTTGAGAGTATTTTGATAGTGGCACAGGAAATCAATACCATGGATTTAAACAGATCTGTTTGCTCAAAGGTTACTTTGGACCTCAAGCCACAGTGCAGCACTCTGGCAGGAGACATTAATGTCTTTTTAACTTTGTTTTTGAATCTGAAATTGGGAAGCCCTTTCACTTCTCCTTCAGGAAACTAAGATTGCTTGATAACTCAAGTCCAACTTTTCTCTTTACCATTTTATATTAATTTTATTTTATAATTTGCCATGCAAAATTGGATTTATTGAACATTGTGTCAGGAACTTGTAATGCTTCCAGTGGGAACAGTAATGCAACGCTTATGTTGCTGTGTGCTGTTAAGTGGGCTGTTGATGAGGTTTTTTTCTGATGGCTGGCTCAACTGAGAGGTTATTTGGCCATTTGTGCCATGGAGTTATTTGGCCAAGTGCTGCTCCAAAAATGTAGATGCTTTCCGTAGAGGCCAGTAATGTTTTATGTGATTGATTTTTTTTTTAAATAATCCAACATGATGTTCCCTTATTGTCTTCATAAGAGAAGCCACATTTAACTGGTTGAAAATGTACTCAGGGCAAATGGCAAAAATATCAGTAATCAAGCCAAAGCAATTTTGATTCTTTTTATGATTTTATGACCATGTTTTACCATAATTGTTATTTTCACAGCTAGTGGTGAATGCTGCTCTAGGATTCGACACATTTGTCGTGATGCGCCATGGCTTGAAGAAACCTCCCAACATTCAGAGCGTTTCCACCGAGCCGGACTCCTCCCCTTCCTGCTCCTCTGCCTCCTCGTCATCCTCCACACCGGCCGGTGCTGCGCCCGCTGTCCCGGGATCGTCTCTGTTTTCAAACATCCCAGGGCACAAGCTTGGCTGCTACTTCTGCAATGATGTTGTGGCACCAGGAGATGTAAGGAAACCACACAGATAACAAGTATACACTCAACTAAGTAGCTCACCTAATGCACTCAAAACCAGGTAGACCCTGCTGCAAAGTCAGCTGTGTTGTTTACAGGGTTTAAATTAGTGATGGTCGCATGAGCGAAATCTCTTTTCAGATGTTATTTTCAAGCAAACAAGGTTTTGAGATGGTCCCAAGCAAACAGAACTGAAGTGAAAATGATTGCTATAAAAAATTACGGTCCCATATGAGATATGAACTCGAATCTCCTGAGTGAAAGTCTCACGTGATTCCTGTTTTTATGCTTAACTATTAGGAGCATCACATCAGTGTTGTGTTTAAGGTTGCCTGCACACTTCTTAGTCATCAAAAAATCTGTTGGTTTTAAATGCAGCATTTGGTTTAGTTATTGTTTGGTTTTTATATTTTTAAGAAAGATGGTTGTAATTGTTTTTCTGTAAGAGTTACAATATGCAAATCCCCCCCCCCCAAGAAAGTTGCAGCTTTCTAGCCTCAACACCCACATTCCCACATCCTGCGTGTCTCTGGATGTTCTTTGTTTTGGGGATTTTGGATTTTCTCCTTCTCTTGACCTTTTCGGAGTAATGCACGAAGATTCTTCATAGGCTATTAAAGGCTGTGGCATTTGTCGGAAACTTGCTGCAATGGGCTCTGACTTCTACTGTAAATGCCATATGTGTCGGTCTCTCTGTGAAACATTAAAGTAATACTAAGATTTGAACTTGAGGCAGAGCCTGCTATCAGTATATTCTAAATGTTGATCTAAGGTTGAGTTCAGTGAATGAATAAATATAGAGTTTTGCATATTGTTATAAATGTTTAAGTGAGACAGGCCTGAAGCAAAATGATACAGATTGTCTAAACATATGGGACATATTCAGTGTGAGAATGTACTGCTGCAAAAATAAAACATGACCAGAAAGTAAAACTGAAATACCTTTGACTCTAAAGGGTTACATGTCAGATTTTGTAGCCATTCTCCTGGTAAGCATGTGTGGTCCACAGCGTAATATCCCCAAAATGAATATTTGCAGGTTTGGCACAAACACTAATGATCCGTTCATCCATCCATTAGCAATACCCTCTTACCCTTTTACATGTGAGCTGGAGCCTGTTCCAGCTGACACTGGCCAAGAGGTTTGCAGCCACTGACACTAATGGTCCATTTATGAAAATACTATGGCATTACTAAAACCCTGCTCAACTGGAAGTATCCGCTAGTCATCAGTGTGTCATAAACAGTTTGTGATCAACAACTTGTCCAGTGCCAATGTTTCTCACCTCTCGTTTCTCTACTTATTCTGGAGAAAGTCCTCTCCGGTTTACTGGATTGACCTTTGGCTTTCTGGAGTTCCAGGACATGATTCTCTATATTGATCTTCTTACTATTTTTGCTGTGTTTTGTTTTGCTAAAATAGTCAACCCGAGATCGGACTCTGGATCAGCAGTGCACAGTCAGCAGACCAGGCCTTGCCATGATTGCCGGAGCGTTGGCTGTTGAGATGATGGTCTCCATTCTACAGCACAGTGAAGGGTAAGGATGACAAAATGTATGTTTGCTACTAATAAGAAATTGAAGTTGTATTAAGGCTGTAACTACTGGCCCTTGTCCCAGCGACTAAATGCATCAAAATCTACACAAGTATATCACTCATGGGTTTATTTAGAAGTAGATTACTGTTTTGATCACTGGAATCAGTGAACATGAGCGCGATCAGATTGATGAACAGTAGGTAAAAGCGAGCCATGCCCCAACTGTACAACCTATTTTATGCTTAATAGGACTGTTATTTGCCCTTCACTGTTAGAAGTACAGTCATCTTCTCATCGACTGCTAAACAGTCATGTCTCCTTTGCAACATGTGTCCTTCATTATTGTTTAATTTGTTTATGTATATATTTACTTATTTTTGACTGTGGTTATGTGTAATGAATAGTAACTGTAGGCTAAGAAGGAAGTGGAGCCTGATGTCACAGAGTTTCAAATACTCAAATATTTACTGGGAGAGACCAGGGTGGACAGGATAAGGACTGAGTATATTACAGAGAGAGAGCTACAGTTGGATGGTTTGGAGATAAAGTAAGAGAGGCAAGGTTGAGAGTAACATGTGCAGACAGAGAGGGGAGTGGATATACTGGGTAAAAAGATGTTGATGATTGGGCTGCCTGGCAAGAGGAAAAGAAGAAGAGAACACTTATGGTTATAGTGAGAAAGAACATCTAAAATGCTTCATTTGACAGAAGAGTTTGAAAAGGTTAGGGTGAGATGGAGCCAGCTAATCTGCTGTGGCAACCGCTGAAGAGAGCAACTGAAAGAAAAAGTGGGCTAGAAAGATGCTAGTCTAACAGTAGCTTTACATTAATTCTTGATTACAGATGTACACAAAATTATTAGCCCCCTGATGACATTTTAAGTTGTTGTCCAAATTTGCCCATGTGCTTTTTTTTATTTAACAGAATCAGGGATCTTCAAGATAGCATTTCTAAACATATTCGTTTTCTTTAGAAATCATAAAATACTTAAATTTTCACACAATAACATAATTGTTTTGACAAAAACATACCAGGCTCAGTATTGTTACCCCCCTGAAAAACGACCCTTTTGTAGAGCAATAGCACAAACCAGTCCTGTGCAATGATGTCCTTTAACTTTGTAAAGCTCAACGGATGTAAAATCGAGTTAAAACTAAAGGATATTTTCCCATTTATTCACTTGAGAAGGCTTCAGGACAGAAACAAAAGAAAATCAGTTTAGATCATCGTTGATGCTCTCAAAGCAGGACATGGATATACAAAGTTATCACAAGGTTTATAATTGTCGAAAGCTGGAATGAGAAGTATCATCAAGAATTTCAAAGAGAGCGACACAGTACAGAGCAAGCCTGGCAAAGGTAGGAAGTGAAAGAGTTCACTCATTCATAGAAGAAGATCACTAAAACCCTGCAGAGAAATGCACTGCAAGGCTGTAGACTGAGGAAAAACTCAATTTCTGCGTGGACACACCTTCAAGCCAGACTCAAGTACACTTAACACAACCTGAAGATTGTGCATCATTTAATCACATAAAGCTAGACAACTAGAAACTGAAAACCAGAGCTATTTGGCTACAGAGACACTGCTTATGTTTGGAGAAAGAAGGAGAGGTGTAAGAACATCAACCCACAGTGAAACATGGTGGTGGGAGTATTATGTTTTGAGGATCCTTGAGTGTGACTGGAACTGGGAATCTCGTCAAGAAGAAAAACGATTTTAAAAGAAAACCTCAAGCAGTGAGCGTCAAAACTGGATAGCTGTCTTCCAATAAGACAACAACCATACATCCCATCTGGTGAAGAACAATGTCAATGGTACTGACTGGCCTGCACAAAGCCCTGACTTGGATTCCCCTGAAAATCTGTGGATTGACTCAAGACTGACAGACAGGTAGATAGGCATATAGATACGTAGACACTTTATTGATCCCACACGGGAAATTATTGTGTTATGGCAGCAGGAAAGAATGAAAAGAATAAAAATGGTACAGTCTACAATAACTAAACAACATAGTTATAGTAAAAGTGACGTGGGCACATAGGCACTTATCCGTTTTTTTTAAGGAAGAGTAAGAACATTAATACACATTAATGTTAATAATACATTAATAAAGAAGATATAACACAGGTAATATCTATAATGCAATTTTCCTCAGAGGTGTGGAGTTGAGCAGGTGAGATGGGATGTCCATGATGGAGAGCATGTTTGTTCAGTGACCTTCTGTCCCTCATTGACTCAGAGACCTACAAGTTTTGGCCAATGATGCTTCTGGCCTTGTGAATCAGTTGGCATCTCTGGCACTGACAATGACCCCCAGGAGGGAACAGCAAAATAAATAGGGGAATTGCCACAAACTGGTAGAACTCCAAATCTTGCCGAACATGTTAAAGTATCTGGACTTCATCAGAAAGAGGAGTCTGCTCGTCACCTTCTGCTACGCAGCAACACTTTTGATCTTCCAGTTCAGTCTGTTCTATTCAGGTGGACTTAGATGTATCCGTAGCTGCCCATGTTGTTAATGGGCCGTGTCACAGATTTTCTTTCCTCTGAAGGTCAACCACCATCTCTTTGTCTTGACCTTCAGAAGCAGGTTATTTCTGCCAGACCACTCCACAAAGCTTCTCACCAGCTCCCTACAAGAAACAACTGCAGGCTGTTGTCCAGCAAAAACAACATATAACTCATTATTAGCATTGGTGGGGAGGGGTAGTTTTTGTAAAATAATTTTGTATTTGTGTGCAAAGTAAATGCCAGCATCCAAAATAAAACTAGTATGTTTGTAAAAACTGTGTTAAAAATCCTTTGCTGTCATCTGTATGTCTGTTTAAAGATAAAAAAAAAGCAGCTCATTTAAGCTCAGCAGGACATGGCTATGGCTAATTAACAAACTGTTAGCTGGGGGATCTTAGACCACTTTGATCGAGCCTATCCCAGCAGCCATAGGGTAAGAGGCAAGGTACAGCCCAGTCTAAGACTAATGGAAAAACAGAAAACTCTTTGCTCTCACATCCACACTGGGAGCCAATCTAGCATCGCCATTTAACATAACATGAGAGAACATACCAACTCCATAGAAAAGCGTTAGCCAACCAAGAAGTTTGAACCCAGAACCTTCTTGCTGTGAGGCATCAGCGCTAATGCGCTGCACTGTCAAAGCCCCAAACCTGCATTTACTTGCTTTCATCTATAAGGGTAACTACACTTACACTTTCTGGTAAAACACTGTCACCTGGTGGTGACATTTTTAGTTAAATTGTACAAATTCTGATTACACTTAGATACATTTTACACTTGAAAAAATTATATGTGTTAGAAGGGAAAAAACAGTGTGAATACTGAGGTATGCATCAAGGTTTGACTGCTTTTAAAGCCATTAGATCGATATTTTAACACGAGTCACTTTTGGAGCAGCCTCACGTAGTCTTTAGACGATCTGCAGTTTTTAGCTAAATGTCAAACTGGCTTTATTTTTTGACACTGAAGGTTGACCCTTGCTGTGACATTTTAGACCTGTACGCAACGTTCATCTTTTATGTATTAAAATGTATGGTCTAGCCATACATTCATAGGTTGAAGTGTTGGGCAAAGTGTTTATTTTGTTTATTTATAAGGAACCCCATTAGCTTCCACAACAGTGGTTGCTAGTCTTCCTGGGGCCCAAACCATCAAATACCACCAAATAAAATGTTACACAATGAGTTGGATGCAAAATGTCCACATAATTTGGCTCTTACATCCACAATAAGGTTTTACAATTCTGAAAATGTAAACATGTAAATATTAAAAATTATTAAAAACAAACAAACAACAAAAAAAACAACAAAAAAAACCACTCAAACAAAATACACAATTTCCATTACAAGTGACATTACCCTCTTACAATTTTTACAATAAATTGAAAACTGCTTAAATAGGCTTTTAGGTGATTTTTAAAATTATGAATAGAAGCCAATTCTCTAATTGCATAAGGCAACTTATTC